CAGCTGTTTCCAGTGAAAAATGACTGGCAGTCTGCTTCCATGATGATATTAGCCAAGACAACCCGATGTTCTACATTGTCACGCTGTCTTTGTGCCTGGGAGTTCTGGTGGTGCAGAGCATAGATAGTTGTTCTGCTAACCCAAATGTGCTGGATGCTGTTCCGATTCACCAGTGGCTTCACAGGAAAGAGAGGGACAATCTTCCCCTCCACTATTAACAGCCTCTGTAAACACAATGGAAGGTCTGCTAAAAATCAGTTCTCACTTGAGCTTGGTTTGGTATTTTTTTATTATCTGAAGTGTATCTTCTCTTTTCAAAGGACACCACCCTTGCAGTAATTGGACTCACCCTATCCCTGTACAACTTCATGTTAACTAATAGCACCTTCAAAGGCATTAGTCAAACAATGTCACTTTCATAAGTATTGGAGTCTAAGACTTCAATATATCAATATATATTCAGTCCAAAGTCTGTAAGGGTCTTTGCAAATGATCTTCTGTGAGTTGATAGTTCTCATTGCCAGAAAGAAAACTGAAAGGGAAAGCCTAAGTTCAGGCTCAAAGTGCTTTATTTTAAAATTAATCTTTTGAAATGCAGGCCACTTGATTGCCAGGGATAAGGTCTACAAGACCAACTGAGATCGGATGTGGCCAAGTCATGCAGTCGGGCTGCTCTGAGAGGAAGCAGAGCATGGTGGTTTTGAGCAGAGCCGTGGAGTTAGACCTGTTCAAGGCTCCTGGTATTTCCTTTCACATGCTGTGTGCCTGTGGACTCATCCCATTCGTTTATTGAGGCTCAGTTTCATCAGGTAAGATGGGATGTAAAATGTGGTCACTTACAGACCATATATGATGGGTTCATACACATACAAATACTTCCACAGTGTTCAGCAACTCTGAAGCACTCAACAAATTAATATCAATACCTTCAGTATTGTCTTCTGACACAACAAATTGTTTATGTTTATTTGGAGCAACAGAGAAAGGAATAAAGTTAAGTAGGGAAGGGGAAGTAGAATGCATAGCTGATTGTGTCCAAGAACAAATTTCTTCTTTGCCATGAAGTCAGAGAATAGGATAGTGGCCAGCTACCATTGGGCATTCTGATTAAAAATTCCATAGAATAATTTTCATGAAAGTGGAGGAGAACGAAGAACAGAATTTTCAATTTTAATGGAATCCAGATTTTCTGGAGCTGTAGAGGCTGAATAAAAACCAGAAACTGTTGCCCTGAGATAACCCTCAAATCATAAACCACAAATGCTCCAGAGTCTTTTTAAAATGAACCAATAATAAAAACTCTCTACCTATTATCTTTTTGAGAACTATCTACATAGAATCAAACTGACAAGAGGAACTCAAAAGAGTAAATAGAAACCTTAGGGGGGCAATGAGTCTATGTTACTGAAGGTGGAACAACTTGGAGGAGGAGGAGGATGGTTAAGCAGTTAAACCCATAAAATCTGCTGAATGAGCATATGTGTAGCCATGTATATTCTCAACAACAAAATAAACGTTTAAAAAATATTATAGATCACAACAAAGATATTACGTTTGGGAGAAGGATGGGCAATCTCCTCCCATGAGATTTACTACAACTCAAAATCTTTGAATATGCCATGAATCAGATCTAACTGAATGGTACATAAAAATAACATTTCCCAAAGGTTGATCCTGAAGAAACTCCACAGCAAACAGTTGAGAGAATTGTTCTGTTGGAGGATAGAGAGAAGGGTCAGCAGGAATACCAGGAGATATGATATGATATGATATGTGATATGAAAAGATATATGATATTATGAGTGATATGTCATCCCCTCCACTACACTGTCAACCTAAGCTCCACAATGCTCAGGATATCCAGTGCTATCAGGAAAGGGAAAGGGGTAACACGGGCTGAATGACAAGCCATATAACTGGAGGTCTGAGATGTCAGAGTAAAGGTAAGTACATCAATACCAGGGAATTGAAGGAAAGTCAGCCGGGGAAACTTAGATACATGTCTGGTTCTTTATTAGGTGCAGAGAGGAGAGTAGAAGGACAAACAGTGGGGATGGGAGGGAGGAAACACAATGCTGATTTTTTTTAAATGGGGATTCTACTTTCAAGATTTAACCGTAAAGAATTCATGAAACACTGCCTAACATGGATGGATCCAGAGGAAATAAGTCAAAAAAGGTAAAATATTGTAGAAGACCACTTTTATTTAAAACAGGAAAAGATTACACACAGAATCATTCTTGGATGGTTACTAAGGAGAAGAAAGGAGTGAAAATCAATAAATACATAATATACATTTAACATGGGTAAAGAGAAAGAGAATATGCATTAAGGGAATGTTCATTGTGGGTATTATAATTAATGTTATATAACAAAATATGTATGAGTGACTAAATAAAAAAATCAATGTGAGTTACATAGCTGTTTGTTTCAAAATTTCACAAACTAACTGAGTTATTGCTTTTAAGCTATTGGATCAAATAAGGCTTGGTGTCTCTTCATGTATTTCTATTTATTCCTTATATCCCTGTTAAGTTTTTATCAGGTTATTTGAGTAATTGCTCTACATCTTTTCAGTTCCTCTGTCTGTATTCCATCCCTTTAATTTGGATTTCACACACACACACACACACACACACACACACTTCATGAAATGGTAAAAGTTAAAATTACACCTTTCCCCCCTCTTACATCCACTTACATTAGACACTATCTTAATTATTCTGTTTAGCCATTAATGAAATGTGTTACATGCCTGCTGAGTTTAGAGCTCAAAAGAGAATAAGTTTGCTTAATTGGTATCATATAGAACTTTGAGTCTGCTCTCTTCCACAAGACCTGCAAACAGATAGGAATTGCATACTGTAGCAGAGGAAGTGAGCAAAATGAAGTAGTTAACAGGCTCTGCACCTTTTACATGAAGCAATCTGATTTTCCGCTTAGGTACTCTTTAAATTTTTCTGGCCTATTTAGTGCATAATTGGAGTTCTTTGAGAATAAAGCTTATATAGTAAATTTTAAGATTTTTTTAATATAATAATAGAGAAATATACACTATAATTTCCATGTCATTAGATAATAAATAACAATATGTTCTTGAATGTATATATACTGTATTGGCCTGGTTAGTATTCATAGGATATTCAAAGCCTTTCATTTCTGAAGTAGATGACCCATCCTGCTCCCTAGTATGTCTTAAATAAGGGAGCTCCACCAAAAATCCATCCACAATGGAAAACTCTTTGGAATTTGACACACCAGTGGCAAAGATTTCAGTATCACAGCAAACTCAAATAATTGCAGTACAGCAAACTGACTTGAGTCTCAATATCAAGAAAACAAAGGTTCTTACCACTGGACCAGGAGGCAGTGTGATGATGGATGGAGAGGAGACTGAAGCTGTCAACAGCTTCATCGTGTTTGGATCCATAATTAACACCCTTGGTATGAGCAGTCTGAAAATAAGGAGATGCATTGCAATGGGAAAATCTGAAGTTAGGGACCTTTCCAAATTATTGAGGAGTAGTGATGTCAGTTTGAGGACTAAGGTGCATCTGATTCAGGCCATGGTCTTTCTGATTACTAGCTATGTATCCAAGACCTGGACAATGAATAAGGATGACAGCAAAAGAATTGACACCTTTGAGCTGTGGTGTTGGAGATGAGCCTGAAAAGTCCATGGACAGCCAAGAAAATGAATAGGTATGTCTTGGAGAGGGTGCAGCCTGAGTGCTCTTTGGAGGCTAGAATGATGAGGCTTTGTCTCACATACTTTGGACATATTGCTAGGAGGTGCTATTCCTTGGAGAAGGACATTTTGTTGGGAAGGGTAGAGGGTCAACAAGGGAAATGAAAACCCTGAACCAGGTGGATTGACACGGTGACTGCTGCAATGGGCTCTTGTGTATCAGGAAGTGTGAGGATGGTGCAGGACAGGACTAGGTTCAGACTATGAGTCATACTCAACTTGACGGCACATAACAACAATGACTATTGGCCTGTTAGGTTAGTAGTTGTGCTGCCAACTTCAAAGGCATGCTGTTCAAATCCACCAGCTGCTCCTTGGGAGAAAGAAGAGCAGTCTCCTCTCATATGACTTACAGCCTCTGAAAATCCGCCAGAGGGTCAGCGACGACAGGTTCCAACTCAACAGCACATAACAACATCCTAACATTAAACATGTAAACATTTAATTTATAGCTTTGAATAAGCTTGATAGATAGAAAATTACCCACAAAACTCTGGACAAAACAAAACAAAACAAAAAACCTCTGGTCTTTTCAAAAAAATTTATTACCTAACAAAATCCAGACAAGTTCATTCTAAGCAAAATTATTACTGCTTCAGGAGAAAATATTAATGAAATAAAGGGAACTTGGCAGGGGGTGGGGAATGTTGCTAGCTGAAAGACCACACCTCTTTGGCAGTTCAAACCAACCAGAAACTCCTTGGGAGAAAGACAGACCATCTCCTCCCGTGTGATTTACAGCTTTGGAAACCCACAGCAGAGTCAGCTATGAGTCAGTTCCTACATGACAGTAATGACTCCAGGTTTTTTTGACTACTTGGCTGAGTCTCAAAGGGGCCTCTCACTCAGATAGGAGTTTGTGTTTGTCTTAAAAAGTCAGGAAAAGGCTTTCCTAGTGTGCAACCTGACAATATACAAGAGTTATGCATTTGGTGTTTATTTAAATAAAATGTGTCTTTAAACATGGAATGCTTAGTGGAAACTAACTTTGGTTGTCCAAAATTATGGAGACAATTTTCATTTCTTTTCTCAAATGAGAAGGAATTGAAACAACTTCTCAAGGAGTTTTTTTATTGGACTAGGAAAGGAGTGCATATGTGGAGTTATATCAGGGGCCAAGTGTCACCAACAATTGAATACAAAACAGAAAACAGTTCAAGATGTATCCAGAAAGAGATTGACCTTTCCCAGCATGTCTTGGGTCCCTCTCCCCACTGATCTCCCAGTGAATGGGTGTGGGTCTTTCTGGGGTTCAGAAGATCTTGCATTCATTGATGGAGAACAGCCTCCTCCTGTTGCGCCTCCTGGCTTGGTTGACAGCTGTCCGGACCGCACACTCAAAAACCTGCTGCACCCCTCGGTTACTGAGTGCCGAGCACTCCAAGTAGCCCTTGGCTCGCACATCCTGGGCCAGTTTCTTGCCGTCGATGGCATTGACGCAGGATGCCCGGTGAGGACCCACCTCCCGCTGGTCAGTCTGGGTTGCCACCACCAGCACAGGTGTGCAGGGCAAGTTGCTCCTGATCTCACCGATCCACTTGTTTTTCAAGTTCTGGAAGGAGTTGTGGTTGGCCACGGAGTAGCACATGAGCACCACATCGGCCTGCTGGTAGGACAGGGGGCGGATGCTCCGGAAGGCGTCATTGCCCGCTGTATCCCAGAGGCCCAGGCTGATCTGGATGCCGTCCATGAAGACGTCCACGCCAGTGTTCTCGTACACGGTGGGCTTATAGGCCTCCGGGAAAGTCTCTGAGGTGAAGCGCACCAACAGGGAGGTTTTTCCCACAGCTGAGTCGCCCACCAGAACACACTTGATAGAGCTCAGCATCTTCCCTGGCTGGTTTCTGTGTTACAAGTTCAGAATCCCAAGGGAAAGAGCCCTCAGGGAGCTGCCACTGGCAGCGCCATCCAGCAAAAGACCAAAAACCAGACGGGTCTATGTTCTCTGAGAGGCACCTAGTAAAATTTCACTTCGCCCAGTTCATCCAAGAAGCAGCACAGGCTGTTCGGAAAACTCCGTAGCTTCCTTATGTCCTGGGGGATAAAGAGGAAGAGGACAAAAATTAGGTTTTTTATTTTTTTTTTCCATTTTGTGATGATAGACATCTTCCTCATGAGTAAAATCTAGAGACTAGGGTGGGCCTGATCGAGACCATGGTCTTTGCAAATACATGCTATGCATCATAGAGCTGGACAAAGACTAAGGATGACAGAGAAAGAATCAATGCCTTGGAGTTGTGGTGCTAGAGAAAAATACTGAACATATCATGGACCACCAAGAAAACAAACAGGAGAGGGTGAAACCAAGTTTCTCCTTGGAGGCAAGGATTTTGAAGTTTCATGTCATATACTTTGGGAATGTTGCCATTAGGGATCAGTCCTTGGAGAATGACATCATGCTTGGAAGGGTGGAAGGACAGCACAGGAGAGGAAGACCCTGGATGAGATAGATTGGCATGGTAACTGGAGCAATGAATGGCATTAGGTATGTTGGAGTCATTGAGACTGGCTCAGGATAGGGAAGCCTTCTGAGTTGTTGTAGTTAGGGTTGCTATGAGTTGCAGGTGACTCGATAGCACATAACATCAACACAATAACAATGACGTGATAGTGGTAGAGGGCTCTGGTGGCTTAGTGCATAGAAGTCAGGCTATAATCCTGATGGCATGAGATTCAAATCCATCAGGTGCTCCATGGGAGAAGGATGGATAACCATGTAATTAACTGCCTCTGAAAACCCACTGAAATGTCAGCCATGAGTCAGTTCCAACTTGATGGCACATAACAAACAAACACACAAAATTAGCAGTGGTACAATCCCGTTCTATTCCTCCAACCCCCACATTCAATTCAAAGGAAGTTCTTGTGGCTTGGTGGGAGGGAGTTGGGCTGCCAACTCAAAGACATGTGACTCGCATCTACCAATTACTACATGGCAGAAAGATGGGCGCTCTTCTCCCATGTTATTTTACAGCCAGTTGTTTGTTGCTTTGTTCCATCGAGTCAGAATCCATTCACAGGAGAATGTCCATCTTCTTCCATAGAGCAGTTTGTGGATTCCAACTGCCTAACTCTGGGTTGGTGACACAACTCCTTCCTTACCACTAAGCCACTAGAGCTTCATCTTTACAGACTAGCTCACCCAAAACCCAGGCCTCCTGCCCCCTAGGAGAAAAACATAAAAGACTAGATCTGTGATCCCCAAGCATGTTCAATCCTAACTCCCAACTCTGGCCAAGAAACAGAAGTTGATTTTATCTCGAAAATCAGTCTAATCAATATATCTCTCTCTCCCTGTCCCTTTCCCTCTCCCTCCC